GGTTTCGGAACCCCCTGTCCCGCAAGGCACGCCCTGAGGGCGCTATCCCAGGCCGGGACCCTTCCTGGATTCGGGAACGTGTCTTGGCGCAGGGTAGAAGCAGAAAGATCTTTCTTCCCGCGCATAATTTTTATCAGTGCAGATAACAAATAAGTCCCCGCAGCGTCTGGGGGCGGAGGAGCGGAGGGGGTGGTGAACTCCAGTGTAAAAAGGGAAGGCCCAACTGATGGACAGACAGACCGGAACCCGGAGGCCAGAAATACCCGCAGAGTGGCAGGATGATTTCAAGAGCTGGTGCTCCTTGAACTGGACTCTCCCCTGCTGTAACCTCCCCCGTGGCTCCCTCCCGGTCTCATCAGAATTCTAGAAACTGGACTGAAGCCCACAGCCAGAGCCTCTCACCCTCCACTCTGGCCGCACTGGCTTCCTTGTTTCTGCCCACAGCCAAGCCCCTGTTTCTTCCTAAAGAGCACCTGTCCTAGATATTGATACCTGCATGGTCAGATCCCCACTTTATCCTGATCTTCATCCAGTGCCAGAAACCAGAGCAGCCCACCACCACATCTAGCTGATTTTTTTTTTTTTTTCCTGAGACTAGGTCTCATTATGTTGCCCAGGTTGGTCAAAATCTCCAGGCCTCAACCAATCTTCTTGCCTCAGCCTCCCAAAATCCTGTGATTACAGGCGTAGCACAGCACCTGGCCTGCCCATGTTTTCTTTACTATTAAAAATGTCTTGCCAGGCAGAAGCTAACAGACAAGTTCTCTGCTGTCACTGAGAAGTTAGATTCTTGGGCAGATTGTGCTTTTTCTTCAGTTTGCTTGTTTGAACCTGAACATCTAAAACACTCAACCTGTGATTTATTCATTTTTAATCAGATATTCATTGTATGCATGCTCTCCATTAAGCCCTGTGCAGGCCCTGGTAGGGGCTCAGCCCACAAGAGGATTTTAGTCTGTTGGAAGGAATGGAGGCACAGCTGAAGTACTTTCTGGGCATTAGTGAGATTTGTTAGGGACTATGATGGAGATTTCGTTTTAGGAGAATGAATAAGATATTGAATCTTCTCTCCAAAGAGCTAACTGATGAGCTAAAGAGGAGTGAGGGCTGTGATGAGGGTGGGGCAAGGTAAGAGGCAGCCCCTGGTCACCTGCCTGCTGCCCCTCCAGCTTCCAAGAAGGTTGGGTTGATCCTATAGTTGAGTGGAGACTGCCAGGTAGACAGAGGATGCCGATATTGCATTAGGAGTTTAGAGAGTGACAGGTGAGGAGTCATGGAGAGGGACCTGGAGATTTTTTGGTATTCATTTATTGTTGAGCCCTATGTAAGCCTGGTCTCTTCCTTCTTGTAATTCATGGTCTATTTTTGAAAATCATTGGCTAAGTAAGCAATTCTAATTTTTTATTTTTAATTTAAAGTGTTTTTTTGTTTGTTTTTTCTGTAGAGATGAAGCCAGCTATATTTATCCAGGCTAGTCTCAGATACCTGACCTTAAAGCACTAGGATTCCAAATATGAACCACGGCAGCCTGGCTAATAAGCCACTTTAATAAAGGGACAAACTGTGAAAGAGTGTCTGGGACCTTAAGCTGGGATCTGTAGGAAGTAGGAACTGACCAGGCAAAGGCAGCAGAAGAGGCAGAGTCGAGAGCATTTTAGGAGGGAGCAGGTTGGAGAGGCTGTGGGGAGTTCAGGAAAGAGTCCCTGGTGGAGGCTGACTTTGAGAAGCACCATGGTGTAAGTGGAATTTAAAGGCCCACTCCTGGAGGTGATCACCCGGGAGGTGGGTGAGGGTGAAGGGGAAGTCTAAGGATCCTGGGACCTGGAACTTTCTAGGAGAAAAGAGGTGAAGGAGCACCAGTTTGGGAATCAGAAGGGCAGGAGCTGTGAGAACAGAAGAAACCCAGGAGGGTTGGTTGTCCAGAAGTCCATGCGAAGATAGGGGAAGAGGGAGACGGGAAGGAACAACTGTGTCAAATGCCACTAGTGGGCCACGCGGCAAGGACTGAAGACTGGTGACACTTTGGTGGTTCCTCAAAAGGGTCAACATAGGGTCACCCCCTCGGGTCCCCTCCCACTGTGGGAGCTTTTCTGTCCTCTTAATAAATCCTGCTTTTAAAAAAAGGTTCAACATAGAAACATCATAGGGTTCAGCTCCACTTCTAGGTATATACCCCAAATATTTAAAGTAGGGACTATCATTCTTTGAGTTAGTGTCTCCTGGGCTGGAGTGCAGTAGCAGAAACACCACTACTGCTGCCTCAACTTCCTGTCAGGCGATCCTTCTGCCTCAGGCTCCTGGGTTGCTGAGACTACAAGCGTGCCCCCATACCTGCCTAAATTTTTATTTTTGTAGAGATGTGATTTTGCTGTTGCCTACACTGGTCTCGAACCCCTGGGCTCAAGTTATCTTGGCCTCAGCCTCATAAGTGCTGGGATTACAGGTGTGAGCACAGGTCTCCAAATTTTTGATCTCTTAGCACAGCAGTTTCTCTCTTCCTTCCCCCACCCCCATATTTGATTATCGCAGTTTATTAGCATACGGATTTTTGCAGTTTCTTCTAATGTGGGCTGCCCTGGGCTCAGGTCATAGAAACCAACTGAGGACACTTCAAGTCCTCCTCCTGCCAGAGCCAGCACACGGACTTCAGGATCACTTTCCTGCTTATGTCCTGGGTTCCTGCTGATAAACAGTGAAATATTGCAATTCTCTTGTTGTATACACCTAGGGTCTCCAACCCCCGGGCGGTAATCCTGTACCGGTCTGTGGTCTGTTGGGAACCGGGCTGCACAGCAGCAGCTCCTGTCCCATCAGCGGCGGCCCGCCCATTATTTTATTTACCACCTGTCAGCATCTCTCTCTTTTTTTAATGGTAAGTTATATAATTATTTCATTATATATTACAATGTCATAATAATAATAACAGAAGTAAAGTGCACAATAAATGTCATGCGCCTGAATCATCCCGAGAGCAACCCTCCCCTGCATCCCTGGAAAAATTGTCTTCCACGAAACCGGGCCCTGATGCCAAAAAGGTTGGGTAACTGCTGGTGTAAACCATCCCCTCTGGATCAGATCCTGCTGGTGTCCTCTGGGCACTCAGTTGCTTCCCACGGAAAAACAGGGCGATGACACCCACCTCCCACTCAGTTGAAATCCCGGATTGGCTCGAAGGGAGAGAGGGCGGAGTCGGCGCGAACTCAAAACCGAGTGTGAGCGGCGCCCGCAGCTCAGAGTTCGTCTGCCGGCGGCCGCGCTGGGCGAGCTGGGCGCAAGGTGAGCGGAGAGCACCGGGGAGCAAGGGCGCGGGGCGGGGGGG